TTTGCAATGAAGCCCACCAGCCTTTGCAAACGCTTCCAATAAAACTTTACTTCTGACTAACACAGAGAGATTTGTGGTGCTTGTTTCACACAATCCTAATATCCAGTGAAACCAGTAGGATTTAAATTATGTCCAGCTGGACTCAATGATTCAATGAGGTTTCAGTTAACTAACAGAGATAGTTGACATGAGACAGAAAAGAGGTACTGGAAAATTTACCACCACTGAAACCCTGGGAAATCACACCAACCAGATGGAAAGTATTGTCCACCATTGCTTTGTACTAAACAAAGTAAAAGATGTTGCAATGCACCTGCAAAGCGGATTCAATGGCTGCTGAATGTTCTATGTTTCATCTGACTCTACTAGACCACTTGAACCACAAAGTCAATAAAGAGAAGCAGGTTTTGGAGAAACCAGAGGCTAATATTGCTAATTCCCCCTTTCATGCAAAATGAACATGTAGAAGAGGATTGAATGTATCTTATGCTTTATGCTCAATTCACACAATATGGATTGTGCCCAGATAATGGACCCAGAAGTGGTGCTGGTGAAACAGCAAGGCAATTCTTGCATATCCAAAAAGTTCAGAGTAAAATATGCTATATTTTTATTCCTTTTAAAATATGAATTCCTCTAAAGAATTGTTATTTATTTATTTTTGTTTGTCGTTATAACCAAGCAATGTATACCTTGCTGGCCAATATTAATTTATTTACTATCCATGTATTTATGTTATTTTATTATTTATTTATTTATTTATACTATTTATTTATACTAAACTAGTATTCACTGCTATGGTTGTAGTATTCAGGAAGAAGAAGTCTATATTAAAATGCTAACCTCAAATAAAAGTGGTAGTTTGGATTATTTTTTTTTATTATTTTATAAATAAATAAAATTTTATAAATAAATAAAATTATTATTTTTTATTATTTTGTTAGTCTTCTGTGTGGGCATATAGCTTCCTTCCTTCCTTCCTTCCTCCCTCCCTCCCTTCCTTTCCTGATTGCAACTATATCTAGTCAGATCTTATGCAGCTTTACTTGGAAGAAACTAAATTAGAAGTCACTGAGATTCTTCCCAAATAAGAATGTATAGGATTATAGTATATACTATATAGTGTGTGATTTCTCTGATTTCTCATTTAACCATCTGAGTGTACGTGTGTGTATGTATGTATGTATGTATGTATATGTATATATAATATGAATAAGTATTATATTATTTATAATAATTATAAATGATATAAATATATTATGAAGAATAACATCATACAAGTTCACAAAATTCAACATTTTAGTCACTCTTTCACTTAATCCAAAAGACAAAAAAGTCACAACAATCCTTTTTCAACAAAGTTGTAAAATGTGTCAGTTCATGAAGCTGTTTCCATAATACCTGATCACATCTTGACTGATTCAAACACTGACACATTATTATATGTATCATTTAAACTATAATCTGCATTTACATTGTAACACAGCTTTACTGTTTGAAGACAGTTCAAGATATTATTTACATCAGATAATATAAATTAATATTTTTTCCCTCCATGATATAAATGCCTACTTCTTATCATTCTTTCTTTCAACCAAACTAAATGTAACACTGCTTATGCAAATCAATTTTCAACAATTCTTGGGCTTTAGGGCACAAATAGGATTGTGACTCAGTGAAGCTGAAGGAAGATATATAAGTTTTAAATCACTCCCACACCCATATAAAAATCCCAAGCACAATGGAACCTGTGAGTTATTTGGCAGCTGGGAGTGAAACCTTTCTACTTCAGGTGACTGGAAAAATGATGAAATGGTATACCACTGTGCTAAAAAAAAAAAAAGCACAGAAAAGCATGAGAAGCTCTGGGAAAGAAACATAGTAATTAAAAAAAAACAGATTTCTGTCGGCTGTCAAACCAGCAACCTTCTATTTACACAGTGTGTTATAATAATTATGCTATTACTGCAGTCAAGGCAAAAGTGGCTCTAAAAGGTACTACAGACCATGGAAAGCATTGATTCAGCTGAAGGGTTGTTCCTGCCTCTACAAAATATCCAGTGCATTGATATGGGTGGCCTGCAACAAATGAAGTGGCTATTCCAAACCGAAGACTCTTGAGGCATTATACGGTGGAACAGTGTGCTTCAGAAGTAGAGCAGAAGAATTTGCCTAGGGTCACTTTGATGCTGAGTGAGGGATTAATAAAGCATGGCATCTTCTGTTTTTGCCCTCTAGAAATAGCTGCCAGACCATTCTGGTGACAGGACAACAGGGCAGTGCAGATAAACCCACAGATCTTCAAAGTGATTTTTCACTCTTCCCAGTTCTACAGAGCATATTATTAAACAAAATAATATTTATCATAAGTGATGGCTAAAATTCTAAGATATCGCTGTAGTGTAGTGTACTTCTGGTTGTAATTCCAGAAAGGGTCAGGTTCAACACAAGTATTATGTTTTCAGTTGTAGTTCTGTATTGCAGACCATGACTTGCATTGTTTTTTTTTCATAAAATCATTTTTTTCTCTTGTCATTAAAGGTTTTGATACATTATTTGTTATAAACTGAACTGAGAAAAAGAGAGATAATTTACTTATGTGGAGTTCTAGTTCAGTGGAAAGTGGAAAGCAGCAAGCAAAATATATTTTTTCCCCCTCTATGTTTGAAAACCCATGATTTTTGAGCATTCACAGTTGTGTGGAGATAATCCCACAATTAGATGGGCGAACAAATGAAAGCAACATGATGATGTTCAACTGAATAGGTGCAGGGTGTAACTTGAGTTCCTGTCCTGTAACTGGGCATAGAATAAGCTTCTGCATAGGACTACTTCTGTTACACTAAAGCTTGAA